GGGAGGGGGGAGACAGGGAGGGGAAGACAGGGAGGCCACCCCCTCTCAGAGCATGGACACTGCTCCTAGGTCACTTCCTCCCACATCTGGAATCCCGGCCATTTCCTGGAGCTGTTCAGGAAGGCCAGGCCTGTGCTCAGCGGAGGAGCGAGCTGCCCCACCTTTGTTCCCAAGTGTCACTGGCCGAAACTGGCTGCCCCCACGGCCCGTCCCCGCCCCAGCCCCAGCTGCTCACCCTCACCGCCATCTCACCGCCATCGGCATGGAGGGGACCCCGCCTCCTTCCCTCGGCCACCGGGACCAAGAGGGTCAGACCCCGACCCTGCAGTCTTCACACACTGATGGGGACAGGTACAGCAGCTGCATGCCAGGCTGGGAGGACGGGGCTGCCGTCAGAGAAGCTGGGGACTTTGGGGTGATGACAAGGGCCGTGACGGGGGTATCGGGCTCAGAGCAGAGGACTTATGGGACCTGGGGCCCGTGGGCAGAGTGAGGAGGCACGTGTGTCGGCCTGGGAGGCAGGAAGGTGCGCAGAGGCAGGTGGACTCGCTGCAGGCGCGCCAGCCCGAGCCCCCCGGGTATGGAGCCCTGGAGCGCTCACCCTGTCTGCCTGCCCCCAAGGACAGTGCTGCCAAGTCTTCCTTCGTCTCTGCTCGTCGGGCACGGGCAGGCTGGCCCCATTCCCAGCCAGCGATCTCGCTCCTGCCACAGGTCCTGGAAGGCGGGAGAAACTCCCCTCGACTTGGAAGGCGAGCACCAGGGACGCAGACCCGGCCCTCGCCTGTCCTGGCCGCAGCAGGAAGGTACGGACACGTGCAGGCCGGGGAGACCTCGGAGCAGCGAGCGAAGGCCGAGGTTCCTGGCGAGGCGGAGTGGGGGCTCCCAGAGGCCCCGGTGCTGTTCCCACGTCCTCAGGCCTCATCTCCACAAACCGAGGACAGCAGACGCCAGGCACCAGGTCACCGTGACTCGTGACTCACGACTCGCTGGGCACTGGCTCCTGTCCTGCGGGGGCTCTGCTCTGGGCCCGCGAATGACCGGGTGACGTGGCTCCTCCCTTCAGCCTCGTCTCCCGCGTGTGCGAGTCCCGCTTCCTCAGCTGCTTGTGATGGGCAGAGCAGGCCCTTCTGGGAGACCTCGGGACGTTCTTCACCTCTGGCTCCGGTGTCTCGGGCCTCTGCTCTGCGTCCAGAGAAGCAGCAGCTGGGGCTCCTGGCCGCACTGGGGAGACAGCGGGGGGCATGCTCAGGGCTGACGCCCAGTCCACCAGGGGCCACCGGTGCGGAAGCCCAAGCCCACGGCCGGTCTGAGCCCCATTTCCTTCGCCCGCTAGGGCTATGCCAGGCCCATGCGAGGCCCGCGGACAGCGGCCAGCGGCCAGCAGGCCTCAGGACTGCCGCTGGGTGTGGAGCTGCCTGAACATTCTGGGGGAGTGTGTCCCGGCCGCCCTGGTGCACCGGCCCCTCCTGCCCTCAGCCCCAGTCTCCAGTCCTCGTCTCTGCCCCATGCTGACAGCCAGCAGGGTGATGGTGGCCTCCTCTAGGGGAAGTGGCCAGGAGGCCCCTTGGCCACAGCTTCTGTCCTGGCTCTGGGGCCTCCGCAGCGTCATGGGTCCCTGGAGCTGAAAGTACATCGAGAATTCTCAGCCTCACTGTCCTGGACCGTCTAACCCCGGGGGCCACGGGCCATGCCTAGGGCAGACACCACCACCTGTGAGAGGCTGCGGCTGCCCACCTGGCTCAGCAGCCGTGCTCACGTGTCCGGAGGCCAGGCCACCAGCCCCTGCACTCTGGACTCACCTGGTGACGCCCTCTGGCCGAAGACCGCCAGGACAGCTGCACTGGGAGCCCGCTAGGTGTGCAACTCCTGGCAGGGGGTGCAGGTCGCAGGGCACCGCGGAGGCCTGTGTACCGGGCTGTTAGCGCCTGTCGTAGGACTCGGGCTTTGATGGGGATCTACTTCAATCTGTCCGATTACTTCATGTGTGAGACGGAGATGCAGGGCCCCAGCAGCGCCCGGTGTGGCAATGCACCCCCAGCCTCCACAGCCCCGATCTTGTGGGGTACGCGGGGAGGTCCCTGCACTGCCGGCCTTCCCCCGTGGTCTGACTGGAAGCTCGAGGAGGGTGAGGAGGTCTCAGGGCAGAGGCTTTGCTGCTCACTGAGCTCCACGGTGTCCTCTCTGCGGGGAGCATGTGGCGTGTGCCCTGTGGTCTGTGCCCTCTCCAACATGACATGTTGCTCCGAGTGTTAAACACGCTTCCTGCCATAGCTGCGAGTGTTTGAGGGCTCCCTTGGGAATAAGCTTGGAGCCGACTGAGCCCTGGCCATGTGGGCACTTAGGATGATTCTGACAATCGCCTTTAGGTCAGCCCCCTGGTGTCCTGGAACCACCTCCTCAGGAGGGTCGGTGACTTCTTTTTCTAAATGAATCATTTAATTTATTTATCATTATTATTATTAAATTTGCTACAGGGTACATACACTCGCCGGAGAGAGAAAGAGCGAGAGGAGAGAGAAAGTGATAAAGCAAGCTGCTGGGTCCAGGACTTGAACTGTGGTCGACTGTGTGGGAGTCTAGTGCCTTACCCACCATGCCAGCTGCTGGCCAGTGACTTCTGTGCCCATTCACGCTGTGCAGCCCTCTGTCTAGGTACCCTGACTGTACCCGCCTGACGGGGCCAGTGAGGCTGAGTGTCCTTTCGTGTCTCCTCTTTAGGGAAATAGCTCTTTCTACCTTTTCCCATTTTTATTTTCTTTTTTTAAAAAAATATATATTTATTTATTATTTATTATTATTATTTTTTAATTTATTCATTCACTTATTTTGATTTGACCAAAGAGAGACACACGGGGGGGAGGGGAGGGTGAGAAAGCAAGCCACTGGGTCTGAGACTTGAACTGTGGTTGGCCGTGTGGGAGTGTCTAGCACCTTAACCACCACACCACATGCTTGCCCCCCCCTTTTAATTCATTTTTAAAATTTGACGAGAGAGAGGAGAGAGAGAGAGAGGAAAAGTGAGAAAATAAGCTCCAGGTCCAGGACTCGAACCATGATTGGCAATGTGGGAGTGTCCAATACCTTAACCACCACGCTACCTGCTGCTCCCCCCCTTCCTCATTTTTCTAATGCTTATTATTATTTTTACTTAATAACTTTCAGGGCATGTGTTGTATTCTGGATAATAATTCTTCTTGGACTAGAGATGTTACAAAAACAAGTTTAGACTCATATTTTCTTTGGGGGAAAGATTTTTTGCCATAGGGCATATACACTTGCCAGAGAGACAGAAAGTGAGAAATCAGCCCCTGGGGGATGGCCACCTGCAATCCCTTTTCCTCCATTCTCCTCCGGAATTTGGGGATGCACGTACATGCGCCCAGTGTGAATTTCAAGCCTCTGTGTCTTGGACTCAGCCGGTTGGCCGTG